CTTTTAAGGTTCCTATTGCTCCTTAAATATATCCTCAAGATTTCTTTACCATAATCTGAGGACTCCTTGGAAATTAGCAGATAGATTTCGGGGAGACACATTATGGAGCTCTGGGGTGGTGCTGTAGGATAAAGTACTGGACAACAAGGTTTAAACCTCATGATCATGGTTCAAATCCCCCAGAAGCTCCTTGGAAACCCTAGACAGGGTCGCTATAAGTTGGAAGCAACACAACAGCACTTAAAAACAAGTAACTTGAAAGGGAAAAAACATCCATATTTATTTCCCCCAGTCTCTAAAAGAGATTTAACTTTTCATATGACACCAAGAGAAACAACTATAAACATCCATTAATAATTGAAACATGAAATGTATGAATATGAATCTGGGAAAATTTGAAGTTGTAAAAAATGAAATAAACATTGATATTCTAGGCATTAGTGAGCTGAAATGGATTGGTTTTGGCCATTTTGAATCTGATAATCACATGGTTTACTATGACAGGAATGACAAATTGAAGAAGAGTGGTTACGTTCATCATTAAAAAGAATATTTCACGATCGATCTTGAAGTATAATGCTGTCTGTGATCAATCCATACGTCTACCAGTTAATACCACTATTATTCGAATTTATGCACCAACCACTAAAGCCAGTGATGATGAAATTGAAGAAGTCTAACCAACTTTTTCAGTCTCAAATTGATCAAACATACATTCAAAATGTATCAAACATACATTCAAAATGATAATTACTGGTGATTGGAATGCAAAGGTCAGAAACAAAAAGGAAGGATCAGTAGTTGTAAAATATGGTGACAGTAAAGATGCTGGAGATCCCATGATAAAATTTCACAAGACCAATTACTTTTCATTGCAAATATCTTTAAAATAAATGGACCCCAATGGATGGAATACACAGAAATAAAATTGAAAACATTGGTGGAAAGAGATGGTGGAAAAGCTCCATATTATCAGTCAAAACAAGGCTGAGGCAGGCTGTGGACCAGATCATCAATTGCTCATATGCAAGTTTGGTCTGATGCTGAAAAAAATTAAAACAAGACCATAAGAGTCAAAATATGATTTTAAACATATTCGACCTGAATTTAGAGATCATTTCAAGAATAGATTTGATGCATTTGACACTAATGACCGAAAACCAGGGGAGGTGTGGATGATATCAAGAACAGCATACACAAAGAAAGCAAAAGGTCATTAAGCACGTAAGAAATAAAGAAAAGACAAAAATGGATGTCAGAAGAGATTCTGAAACTTGCTCTCCAGCATAGAGATGCTAAAGCAAATGGAAGAAA